GAAATACAAAAACTGAACCTACACTTACTCCTAAAAACAATTTATAAATCAGCTGATCAGACCATTTAATATATTTTCAGCAAAAATGACGTATTTGTTAATTTCAGTTTCTCCAATGTAAGAATTTGTTGCCTAAATTTTACAAATTATAATATTAAAACTAAAGAACTGTCGTACTGTTGGTCAAACTAATTCAGGGAAAGCATTGCACTGGGTTACATAAAAATACAACAGATAAAATATTGTTATTACATTTCACAAATGTAAAAGTACTAACTGAAGCATAGGATAGGAACTACTGAATCAACAGAAAATGAAATTTGCAGCTTTTTAAGAATCAATCGGTCATCATAGTTATCCTTGGGTTTTGTACTGGACAGAATCAAACACTTAAAAACATTTCCTTGTGAAAGGAAAATAATATGATGGACATTATGTGGTGTTTCTTCGTCAAAATAGTTTCTACATACATACGCTAAATATGGACACGAATCAGTAGAGATAAAATGAAGTGTTGACAAGTCAAGAGAAAGAGCAACAGGCATTTTTTGTTTACCTACTCATTTAAACTACATATATACATAATAACTGCTAATGAGTTAATGCATTTCTAAGGAAAAATGCAAACTTGCCCTCCTTTAAGCTACTTGATTGTGAAGGTTTATTGCCAAATTTTGGACAACTGGTATATTAAACTAAAACAACAACAACAAAAACACTGATTTTGCACTGCTGGTTGAAAAAGACTCTGGAAAATGACCACGAGGCTTAGTTATATTCTGACAATTTATAGACTAAAGTTTTAATAAATTGATAGAGACATGTATTATAGGGATGGATGTAAAGTAACTACAAGAAAAAAGAAAATCCTGCAGATTAAGCCAGGAGATTACAGCCCCTTATTTTACGCACACACGTGGCTTATTTACCATTTTAAAAAACAAATTGGGTCCAAAGGTCAGGGATGGCAATAAACACTGACGTTACTCACGCTAAACAAGCTACAACATCGGTATCTAAACGCAAAAAAACATCATCAGTACAGCAGCTGAAGCAATGCAGGTCATAGTTTCTATCATTGTTAGTCATCACAATAAACTAACGTTAAGCAGGCAGCAGGACATCAGCGTGCTTGTCAGTTACGACACTCATCAATTTTGCTACAAGTTTGGGAATATTACGCAGATAACCAACAGGCGAAACATCAACACAGACAAAGCCTTACATATTTTAGGGAGGGTGGGAGTTTATTTTAATTGATTATATAGTTCCAGAATTATATTTCTCCCTCTTGGGGAACTCTAACCAGGCGCCACGCCGAGCTTTAGCCCGCCTCTCTTTACTGCGTCACTCTTTCAGTTACGGAGTCGCCATCTTTGTGTAGCCGTTGCTAACCGCAGCTAACCGCTAACTTTCACAATTTGCAGCTAAGAAACGAGCTTTGCTGCCTTACGGGAACACACCGCCGTCTTTCTTGGTGTTATCGAAACACCGCAATGCCTGAACATGAATATGCCCTCGTTTATTCGTTTATAACCGCTTACCTTCCTCTCAGACGTCCGACCGAGTGCAACCTCTCGAAGCTAACTACGTCGATTTTCCTGCATTCTCTGCTAACTGCCACAGCCACTGCGGACGAAAACTGACCCCGCCCACCAAGAGCCCTGATTGGTCAGAAGCCCAGCCTTCCCATATTTCATTGGCCAATCGAGTTGCCATTCAAAATGAGTCCAAACATACATCTTCCTCTACACCCACAACTTTGCAGTAAAAACTTGACATGCAAATGAGGGTTTTCTTAAAATATTTATTGACTTTGAGAATAAAGCAACCACATTATATCAAAAAGAACAGTGTTCACATATAACTTTTTAACTGAAAAACAAAACAAAAAAAAAAAAAAAAAAAAATCCCAAAACGTTTCATTTCCAGACCTGAGTGTCACTAAAAACACCAAGACGTGAAAAACCATGAAACTTATTGTAGCTATGTGATTTTTGCATTGTTAGGTTGCATGAGTGTCTTCCGTTTGTCTCACATATGGGTTTTTTTTAATTACGAAATGTGTTGTTTTTTCTTATGACTTTCTCACAGCATAATGTTAATACTTGAATTGGAAGATTTGCCCAGATCAAATAAAACAAGTTTCAAGGATGGCAATGATATATCGGAAATCTATTCTAATAGTCTAACAATTATACATGTAACACTTTGTCAATTGCATTGTAGGCAAACCTACTAAGATAAATATTCAGTGCATTTACCGTTTCCCTGTTACAACCAAGAGTTGAATAACTAATAAAACCTTTGCTGCCTGAGCAAGGAGCTTTTCTTTTCCAGCATATTTTCCATAGACCGAGGGAACAAAAAAATATTTTACAATTGTATGGCTGATTTGTTGTACTGCATTACTGTGAACTGCCTAAAACAAAGAGGTTCTTTTTTTTCTTTTTTTCTTGATTACAAACCGATAAAACAGAGCAGGTTAAGAGCAGTAATACTACACAATCAAACCCATATAAAGCTTAATATGAATCAAATGTACAGGTGATACCCGATCCTCTTGCCAACAAATAGCACCTCTTTCGCTTGTTTTTGCTCAAACACAAAATTTAAAACATCAATTCTGATTAAGTACTAGACTTCATGCTTGAGACCCTGTGGTGGAGGTATATCGATAACCTGCTTCCCATATTTGATTTTACACAACTATAGAACACATGCAAACATTTTCTTTTCTCTCTTTTTTTTTTAAAATGAATAATGGCTTGTGGATGGATAATAAAACAATCTCAAGCTGGATATCCACCAATTTAGTTTGACAGTATGGAGTCAAAAGACAACTTTAACATGATTAAAATCAGATCAGCATGAACAGACAGGTATACACAGGAGTTTACACGTTAAAATCATCCCCAAAATGACATAAAAACAGACAGATGACCTGTGATTTATCGTTAATATTGTGTACTGATAATACTCTTAGTATACTGTGCTGGAGAAGGTCACCAGGACATGATTTTTAGGGGTGACCTGCCGGGCAGCGCTGACACCAACACTGCGGAAAATGATGTATATTTATATATGCAGTCCAAATCTATCTTTGAGTTTAGCTGTGATCGCTCTAAAAGACTGAACCTCCTGAGGAAAATGGTACATGACAAGAAGCAAAAAAGACTTTTTTTTGTTGTTGGCAAATCCTTCATTGTGACCGCAGCGGGTCGATATGTTTAAACTCTTTGAACAGATGCGTGTCCTTGGTATGAACTTAGTGTATCCATTAGAGAACTGAATATGAATATTTTACAACCATTTAAAACAATGACTGCAACACTCAAAATTTAAAAAGAAAAAGCTTTCTTAATTTACATCTCTTTTTTGTTTAGTTTTTTTTTTTGCAATTTTTTTCCATAACAAAATGTAAAAAATATTTCATGTTTGTTTTAAACGTTTTGCAATCTTTGTACAACTTAACCAAATAATGCAGCAAATAAAACAGATAAACACCAGGGATGTCGCTATTTCGTTTTCTTAGAGGTTATGGCTATTGAAAAAAAAAACAAAAAAACAAACAAACAAAAAAAAAACACAATTTCTTTTTTCTTTTTTTCTGAAAAAGGACAAAAATATTGAAAAGATGGCTTTGGAGACATGCACTCTCAAACTAGCCTGTACAGTCATGATGAAGAAAGGTTCCTCTGGCCAAAAGGAACATAAGAGGGGAAACCTTAAAAAAGGTAGAAAAGGGGACCATTTCTTTTTTTTTCTTTTAAGCTTTCAATTAATAAATAACACACTATAAAAACATTATAAAAAAGACAGTCGGTAAGAAGACCTAACAGGTATGTGATGGAAATCTTCTCGTTTCTTTGATTCCAAAACACTGACTTCCTCTAAATCAGGTCCCATCATCACATTTCATTTGAAGTGAGGAGAAAAGGAAAAAAAAAAAATATTATCTACACTTTACTGTAAATCTTTTTTTTTTTCTCACATTTTTTTCAAGCTTTTCAAGCCTCATTATTGCCCCACAAGTGCACTGTAAAAAGATAAAAGTCTTTTATCCCACCAGTACATTTCTCTGCTGTCACACCGAAGCCTATAAAAATGCTGGGTGAGTTTTTAAAAAACAAACAAAACAAAAAAAAAAAACAAACAGATTATACAATACTTTATGTAACAAGATGGATGTCTATGATGTCAAGTACAATGTACACAACGTGGTCCCCTGATCAGGAACTCATTTGGGTAATGGCGGCAGTGGGGGAGGCGGTTCTGAGGGCAGGGGTGGGGGTCTGGGGTTGTTCCCTCTGGAGCCACCAGAGTACCGATAGTCCCCATATTGAGATCTGTATTCGAACATGGATGGCTGGGACGGCTGGACCCCCTGCGCGCTCAGCAGCGAGTTTAGCATTTCAAAAGTGTCCTGGTACTCGTTCGACTGGGCCCCGCCCGCTGCACTGTGCCCATTAGTGTCCGTCTTGTCGCTCTTGGAGTGTGAGTAGCTCCCTTGGTGGTGGGGAAGGCCCAGAGCGGGGAGAATGTCAGGACCGTGCCCCAAAGTTTGCCCAGAGGAGGAAGACAGGGACGGCAGCTGGTAGGGGTTCCTAGAGGACTTGCTGACTTTAGAGGCCGGGTGAGAGCCTGCTGTGGGATCTTGGGAGTGCGTCCTCTTACGCGAGGTCGAAGAGGACGAAGAGCTCGTTCTAGAGGAGTCACTCGGGACCTTTTTGCTGCTTCCCAGTGCCCCGCTGGAACTGGATGAATGTTTGTGTGAGGAGGAGAGTGAGGCACTGCTGGAGGAGGAATGGTGGTGGTGATGGTGGTGGTGGTGATGGTGGTTAGACCGTTCCCTGTGCTTGTCCCTGCTCTTGCCCTCCTCTCCCGAACTCCCCCTTTGCTTCTCAGGCACTCGTATTCTGACTTTGATGTCCGGATCCTGACCTCGGGTGCTGCCGCTGTGCCCGCTGCCTCCTCCTCCGCCAGCCAGTGGGAAGCGAACTTTCAGAGAGCTCCTGTCGTGTCTCTCCTTCTCCAGGGGGATTTTAAGAATAATGGGCGAGGGGTTGGACATTTCAGAGGAGGAGGAGCTGGACTGCTGGTGATGATGCTGCTGCTTCTCCTTCCTCTGCTGCTGACCAATGAGAGCCTGAGCTGCGTTGGCATATTCCCTCTTCACGCTGGCCTCCATGTTCTCCAGCTTCCTCTTCTGGGCGGCCAGAACGTCGGCATTCTTGGCTCGGTACTCGCTCAGTGAAACCTTAGCCGGGGCGTGGACCTCGTTGTTGGGTTGCTGCTGCTGCTCGGCTCCAGCTTGACCTTTCCCGCTCCAAGTCTGAGCGCTGCCGGATGCTCCTTTGTCAGACGAGGAAGAGGAGGCAGACGGCGGCGCTGAGAGGCTCATCAGACCTGCAACAGTGCTCTCTGACGAAGCCATGGAGATCATGCTGATCATGGTGTCCCTCTGGTCACCTTCCTCCTGGACTTTTGGCTTCACTTTTGGTGTTTGACCTCCAGCCTGGGAGCCACGACAGACAGACAGACAATCACGTTAGAGTGAGTCAAAAAAAAAAAAAAAAAAGTCCACACAGTGCAGGAAAACTCAAATAAGCAGCTGAATAAAAGTCGTACCTTCCAGTTGCGAATCCGTTTCAACCGACTCGGTGTTTTCTCCAGGATCTGCAGGAACTCGTGTGTGAGCTCTGCAGAAAGTTCAGAAGGTCAAATCAGCTGGAGATGGAAACGCTATAAATCCCTTCCACTTATTAGATGGAAACGTTTAACCGACTCATTTTTTTCCTCGTCATTCTCGGCACGGACTGAATCGTTATCGGTAATGTACGGCACATACCATCCAACAGCTCGAGGGTGACCGTGGGGTCGACGTACTCCCACCAGTGTTTGCCGTCTGTGGACACGGGGATCTCCCAGTTGGACCACTTGCAGGCGAGGTGGATGCACACACAGGCCACAACAGGTGGACTGTACTGCAGGCAGAACGTGGTCAAGTGCAGACTACGTGGCAGGATGCGTCCAGGGGGGCAAAAAAAAACAACACAAACAACACACAAAAAAGGAGAAAAGAGAACAGACATTCAGTATATTGAGTTTTTGCGAGTTACACACAAAAAGCTTTGACATTTCTTGCTGGACAAATCAACTGCTAAAGACCTAATGCACACAACACTGAATAGTGAACTGTGAGTATACCTGTTAGTGGCCATGAAGTATGACGTTTGGGCCAGATCCTTACTTGCTGGAACAACAAGAGAACAAAGAAACACACTTAAAACCTGCCAAATAACAGCTGGATTTGTCCGAACAGAAGAATCGTGTTGAAATCTCCAAAATCGCAAGACTGCAGAGTTGATACTCACCTCTGACAAGCTGAGTGCACTTGACAACATGAGTATGAGGGTGATCGATGGTGATTTCAAAAGCTGCAATAAAAAGGGGACAAAAAAAAGGAGATGCGTTTAATACACGAAATGCAGACGTCAAACTTGAATATATGAGCCATATGGATTTCATTTAATCCTGTTTCCATGCCAATAACATTAGCAAAGTCCCTGAAAACCAGAAAATGAACAATGTGTGGAGAGTCAGACTAAATGTGGAATATCACTCGGATAGCACCCCGGACAACAACAACAGCTGAACATGAAAAACATTAATGACGCGTTAATTTATAAGCTGTTTCCTGGCTCGTGTTGGTCACCACAAATTTCTTTAAACTATGTCAACAAAAAAAAAAAAAAAAGAGGGAAATGTGAAAAGTTAGGGACATGACAAAACCAAAAACAACAGGTAATGTAACAGAGGGTTACTGCTTCTAAGATGAAGCATGAATGTCAATTTCCGGTTCTGCTAACCGCATATGGGGATTCTGTGAACAAAAGTAAAACAGGTTAGCTCTATTTTTACAATCACATGTGTTTCTGGAGGGAAATCAAGGGACCCAGTTCTTCCTTCCAAACTTACCCAAGGTCTGGAGAATTATGCTCTCAAGAATGACCAGGTCTTGGGCTTGTTGCAGGTAGGCCTGAGGTTGAGAGGACAGGCACGTTACTCACTGGGAGGCCTCTAATCGTTGTCAAACAAGAGCAACTGTGCATACAGTGTAGTTTTGAAAATGTTTGGTCACTGATCTGAGCGCCTCCTGAGCTCAAATGAAAGGTTGGCTTACTGATGCTGCAGTAGAATTGCGCATGTGAAACCCGCCTTCCTTACAGAGCTGAGAAAGACTCACATGTAAGTGAAGCTGCACAGCAAGTACAGATGCTCTTGTTTTACAACTGCTAGACATCACATTACCCGGAGGACTGAAAACCTACAGACACTGAGATGCACTTTGTCCTCTGATCTCTCAACCCATGCATCAACAGCACCCTCAAAATCTGACGGAGCAGCAGCTCAAAACAAAACCGAGTAACTGGCGCCAGATTACATGCAAATAGAAAACCAAGAGTAAAGAAGAAATTTTGAATATGTGAAACTTTATTGCATGACAAATTTACAAGTACCAGCATTGGAGTAGTCACTACAAATACAATCCTTGTAGAAAAAAGAAAAGTGAAAGATAGAATTTGTTAACTGAGAAGGTGATCCATTCAAATTTAACATCGAAGAGCTGCTCCTCATAGTTTAGAGCCAAATTGTTGCTTCTTAATAAACACAAAATCAGCATCAGTCCTCACAAACGGCCCCTCACACGCACATACACACAGGTAAACGTCCGGCCAGATACTTACATCACTGCGTACGTCTGGTGAAGGCTCCTGAGGATTGAGGCATGCGTGGGCCACCTTGATGACATGCTCCAGCTTTCGTGGCTGCTCCTCGACCTTAGCAGCGAGGAAGAGAGCGGCAGGAGCAATGACCTGCAGAGAGGAACCCACAAGGACTCATGAGGTGACTGACACCAGTGCTGACAGCTGCACCAGGGGCTTCAGATTGGCACGAACAACGGCACTTACGTTTCTGTGAAATCTGGTGAAAGACTGGACCATGTAGAACCGATGCATGTACACAATGGCTGTATTAATAGTAAGTTGGGACCTGGTGCATGGCAGTTAAGGACAACGTAGTAAACAGTGGAAACACATCAAAACCACAGCAGGTCGAGAAAATATCTCAGTAGTCTACATGTGAACCAACATGATTAAATTAGTGTAATACAGCTGGTAGTCATGATCACATCAGGCTGTGATCACATCAGTGGCAGAACAACAAAGTTGAAGCCGCAGCTAGCTTAATCCACCAGAGGTTAGCCGGAAGAAGCTCGTTTTTAAACTACACAGTCAAGAGTTAACTTTGAAAACTAAAACATCTGAAACGTAGACTCGAAAACACACCTGAATATAACGTTTATGGTTATAACCAGGCTGCTCCGCACTACACCTTTCTTCCGTGGACGCTTACAGCAGGAGGCGAAGCTAACGCTAACGTCCTGAAGGCCCGCCGACCACACAGGCCGTCGTGGCCCCGGTTAGCCTACTACGCCGATCTCGGATGACGTTAGCGAGCTCGTGCAGACGTACTAAAACCGCAAATTAACGCGTGAAACAAACGGGAAACGTCAAACAAGGGAGAAGCCGTCGAGTAAACGACAACAACAAACACCGGCCACGCTCTCCGCCAAGCCGGCTCCAGGAGAAGCTAAACTTCGCTAGCTAGCGGGCTAATGTTGGCTAGCCGAGACGCCAGTCGTCCCACGACAAAAGATACACATTGAGCCGCTGTCCCATGTCCTGGAGCAGGTTGGCCGCCTGTTGCCTGTAGGACAGCTCCTTGTCGGGATCAAGTCCAGCTCGCCGGGATGGGCTGTTGTCGATCTGCTGCCGGGTGTAGTACCATTTGTTATTACAGCTTGCAGGGAGAGAACGAAACGAAGCCGCCATCACTGAGAAGGACGAGAGTTTAAAATTTCTGCGCGTCACAGGAACATACGTCACGGCGGCCCGCGACGTCAGTCTCATTCCACCGGCGGCCAGCAGGCGTCTCCAGGGCAACCACAGCACGTTACTGCGGTACATCCCGGAATATCGCGTTATTTAAAGTTACACTCATCACTACTGCTGATATTTATAGGTTACTTCATTTATTGGAAGTCTGAGCAGCTAAATACAGGCTGGGCTTGTTTGGCTTCCTCGTGATTATTATTTACAGGTTTTATTTGTACAAAAGCTGCACGTGGTTCCAGTCCAGGATCTAATGAATGAATGAATGAATGCCTTTTATTGTCATTACACAGTGTACAACGAGATTGGAGAGCAAAATAAAGTGCAAAGCTGCTCAGTGAAATATAAAGACAAAAAATGCTAAATATATAAAGAGAAACAACAGATTTGAGAAATATTGCAGGAGATCATTTATATTTACCTGCTGCACATGGTGGAGGAGTCTTATTCAGGTAGAGTGGATATTTTCCATGTGAGAGTTCATGATGGTGGTGATGATCTGTTGCTGCTGTCTGGTCCTAAGGCTAAAGCAGAACGAGGAAAGAAAGCTTTTAAATCCGCTGATCCCTCTACCTGGAACACTTTGCAAAAAGACCTGAAACTTCAAGAGCTGCTGTCTTTAAACACTTTTAACGTGTTCTTAAATGACTTGGAGGCAGAAACATCAGTCCACAGATGTTTTGACAGATGATTATTTTTGCTCTTCTGATCTCTACTGGAGTGTTAATTTCTTATCTTCTATATATAATTTCACCGTGTATTATGATTTCTGTGTGCTGCTGCCTGTCTTGGCCAGGGCACTCTTGAAAAGGAGGTTTTTAATCTTAATGAGCTTTTTCCTGGTTTAAAAAAAAGTTAAATAAAAAAATAAACATGCAGGGTAGCTCAGCTTTGTTCAGCTGATTAACAGCGTAGAGCTCAACAGGTATCACGCGCAGAGTTTATCTGCAAAAACAGGTAATTCCATCTTCACAAACCTTCAGAAAACCCACTTCTCCATCGTCTACCTGAGGCAATATCAATCAAGCTTAACTTAAGCTCCCATATCTGCACCGTGTGAGCTCAGTACGACTCAGCACGACGTATAAAACTGTATTTGCATCTTTTGGAAAGTCAAATCTGAAGTGAACAAAGTGCAAATGAGGGACTTCAGGTCTTTCAGGTCAGAGCATGTGAGCCACAGTGGAGATTTCAATGAGGGTGACTTGGCAAAAATGTTCCTGTGGTCGACCTCCTCATGACCTCCTCTGTCAAAATCCTGGAGTTTAAGAAGTAGAAGATTAGACCTGAATGTTTTTCTACAGCTAAAGTCTAAACTAACTTAAGTCTGAATTCTTGGGGAGCACAAATGTGAATCACCCAGAACAGGAAATTAAAACCTGACTGACTTTTACAGAACGTCTATTAAATCTACTGAAGGTGACAACAAGACTTACAGACCCCAGACTCCAGCCCCCCATGATCCTAGTGAGGATTAAGGTTTATAGATGATGGATGGATGGTTCGTGTGGTTAAATGTCCCAATATCTGCATCAACAAGTGAACACAGTGGAGGACTTCACATGACACTCGTGTACTTCTGAGCAAAACTGACTAAATATTTCTTTCACCAGTGATAAAAAACAAACAAAAAAACAATTCAACAATAACAAATGAAGGAGGCATGTGTCAAAAAATTGAAAACAATTTATTTTAAATCACAAAATGTTATAAAATGGACAGATAACTGAAGCAGTGTACCAACAGAATCCCCAATTTAGAAAACAAGAAATTAACAGGCTGCTGATTAATCAAAAGTACAATTAAATGCACACAGTTAAGTCATTTAAAACGTTTCCCTCACAGCCGGTAATCAGAAATACAGTTTAAACTACTGCAAACTACACGTTTCTGCTTTTAAGCCTCAATTGTTGAAAATTTAGTACCTAAACGAATGAAACACAAAACCTCCTGTTTTCCTTGTTGCATGTATGATAACGAAAAACACACGTTAAGGATGACAGGTTGGTGTTAGCTGGAAGAGTTTTATCATCATCACTAGAATTACAAGTTGTGTCTCTACTGTGACAAACTTGACTTCAGCTTTTATTGAGGAAAGAACTGGTCATCAGCGGCTGTTTGTTTTTGGCTTGTGTCGGTGTTTCTGCAGCTGCTTCACAGTTAAACTATTCATTGTCTCATCCTGATCACGTCTTCTGCCTGATTCAATCACCTAAAACCAGGGAGGAGAAGAATTCCACTGAGCAGCTGGAAACAGCTGCAGGAAGCTGCTCGACGAGTCCTACGACTGGATCTGCTTCACGCAGACGTGATAAACGGATTTCAGTGCAGCTGCGACAACGTGAACTTAAAACCAGAAGAATCTCTCCTCAGAAATATTCCTCAGCAGAACAGTCAATAAAAAAAAGAGTTTAATAAATGATTTAAGGCCTCCCGGGACCAAAAACGTCCGTCTAGGAATCGACAGGCGACTAACTTACTAAATCACAGAGACGTGTTTCTGTGATCTTCAAACAATTTAACTTGTATATTTGTATTTAAGTGTACTTTTGCTTCACAGGAACCGTATTAGTGATATTTGTCATCTTCAGGAATCTCTGGTCATGAAAACACTTTACAAAAAAAACGACCCCAAACACTATTTACACTTTTCCAAATCTTTCAGCGCGTTTCATTTTCTTTGCCTGCAGAGAAAAACAGAAAGAAAACATTAACACACAGCCGGTCAAACTAATTAACGTGCTGTGGTCGTTATTTTTGTGATTAGATATAAAGAACAAACCTTTACCTCGGCGTCGTCTGCGCCGGCCGAACCTCCGCTTGTTAAGATGCCGAACCGTTCCTTCCTCTTTTTCAGCTTTTCATCTTCTTCCATCTGAAAAAACATGTTTGTTAATTCTTGAGACATTTACTTCCCATCAGATCCACCAGCGAAGGAGAAGTTTACTCTGAGCTGCTTCTTCACTTGATAAAATCATGTTGATGCCAAACTTGAATCCCAAAGGGACAGAAAAACAACAAAATAACGACAGAAACACGTCAACTGAATCCTTCCTGCTCAGTGAGAACACGCTCACGGTTACCTTTTGCGAAATAGAAGAAACGTTCATGCCGAATCTTTCTGCTCTCTTCTTCAGCTGGTCGACGTTCACCTGCACGGGACACAGAATGACGTAAATTAAATCAACTCTTGACAAACTGGAGCGATAATGAAACGAGTGATGAATGAAGCTTGTTTGACACTTACAGCAGCTTTACTGTTTGCAACCAGACCTGTTTGGAGACAGAAGGTAGAGAATACAGAGAAAGATGTAATGAAAGTATTATATCATTTTACGTTACACAGATTTTTAAAACACATCAATCCACTCAAAACAAGTCAGCTCAGTGAAGCATAAAGTGAAAACAAACCTGGAGACGGACTCGAAGCATCGTTGGGTAAACCAAACCTAAAGAACAGGAGACAAAACATTTCAACATCAACATCAGATTTACTTAAATCGTCTTTGTTGTCATATAGAAATAGTCAGAAATGTGGGTCAGAGGAGAGAAAAACTTGAGAGTGTAAAACAAAAAAGAGAAAATAAAATGAACCAGTTTAAATAGAAACTACACATTCATTTGTACGTCAACACATTAAAACCTCAAAGACGCGCTGAAACACGGACGAGTTTAATTCAGGACTTGGCAGATGTTTGCAGAATCACACCCTGAAGCTCCTGGTTGGTAAAACAGCTGCTGATATAAATAGACGTTGATCTACCTGCTCGTCCTGTTACATTAATGAGAACCGTCTTCAAGCTGAGGAACTTTACTAGCTGTAGCTTCAACTGTTTCTAGTCAATGTTAGTGGTTCAATAAAGGAAAAAGTTAAAGATTAATAGAACAGAATCTTTATTGTCACTGTAACAAGTACAACGAAATTAAAAAAGTGCCAAACCAACGGCGCAACACTCATGTCAAAAGAAAACAAAGAAAACTGTAAAGGAGTCATTAAAAAATAAAAACTGTAATGAGCAAAGATCATCAACATTTCCAAAATAAAATCTGTGGTCAACAATGAAAACATGTAAATGAAGTCCTGAATGTTTTATATATAAAGTCGTGACTCGATAATCCAACACTAAATGTAAAACCGTCTTTCATGTTGGATATCAAGGCTGTCAGATTGTCAAGATGGAGGTCGAGATACAAGGAGGGCTTGATGCTGGAAGGCTCATTAGTTGTTAATTATTGTTCATAGTTGTTATAATAACTAGCAGGGCTGGTCCCAGTAGTACTTTCTAGTCTCTGGATATTCAGGCCCAAATAATGATGAATATCAGAATATTCGGGGACACTTCCACACCGTCGGAGTGCTGCCCCGGGGTGGAACCCACAGGCAGTACTTGGCTGCTGATGCTAGTTTAGTTAGCGCTCACACTTCTGTTTCCTCCATCGGTGGCGGCGGGGGAGTGGCAGATACGCTCCACCGTTACCATCCATGTTTACTTCTGTAAACACTGAGCACGCTCGCTGCGTGTGACGTCGTCGTGTCCTCTTCT